GTACCACAAATCAGTGTAGCCTAATTTGTCTCTTGTACCACATATCAGTGTAGTCTATTTTGTCTCTTGTACCACAGATCGGTGTAGTCTATTTTATCTCTTGTACCACAAATCAGTGTAACCTAATTTGTCTCTTGTACTATAGATCAGTGTAGTCTATTTTGTCTTTTGTACCACAGATCAGTGTAACCTAATTTATCTCACGTGCCACAGATCAGTGTAACCTAATTTGTCTCTTGTACCATAGCTTTGTCTCTTGTACCATAGCTTTGTCTCTTGTACCATAGCGTTGTCTCTTGTACAATAGCTTTGTCTCTTGTACCATAGCTTTGTCTCTTGTACCATAGCTTTGTCTCTTGTACCATAGCTTTGTCTCTTATACCATAAATCAATGTAACGTAACTTTGTCTCTTCTGCCGTTAATCACCGTAACCTAGCTTTTGTCTCTTGTACCACAAGTCAGTGTAATCAAACTAACTGATCTGTTGCAGTCAACTTTCAAGCCACATCGAGACAATGCAGCAGGCTACTTTCTGGCTGGGAAGGAAATGCACTGGTTCCCGGTTAGTTCCGGTGTTTTTATTGGTCTGTTTGCTGTTACTAATCTTTTCTTACAAATAAGTTATTTTGTGTTTTTGAGTTAGTAATTGTGTTATTGTCCGTTTGTGTCGTATGCTGATGAAAGCTTTCTAGTTGTTGCGTTAATTTTTTTTCGTGATTGTGATACTGTCAAGCTGACTGGTTCCACTTCTTGTTTGGAGTGCCCTTTGATATAGTTAGTGAATATGAATATAGTAGGTCCCAAATGTTTGTAATCACTTAGGTTCAATTTAAGGAGTCCCAGATCGACCCAGCCTTGAGTGGGTACCAGGAAAAGTCCTGGCTGATAAGGTGGCGGGATTTTCTGACCACATAACCCACCAAGTGCCGGTTAGTCTTTAAAATATAGGTCTAGCCCTATATGCCCAATACGCTGTAAGGGTCCAGTATTTGTTTTTACAAAATGTTGAATTAAGAATCGACATCATAGCACTCGGGACACTTCCATAAGTGCTCAGTCCCATCTTCAGCAGCAAGCGAAGTGTTCCAATTCCGATGGTACCAGTAACCGTCTGACTGTATATCCGTCTCATCCTTCCCCTGAGTGTTGAGCGTCGGTCAGATCCCCTGGTAACTCCTCGCAGCGCCATTCTCCTTAGACCGTAGTGATCTATCTGCGCCTTCGCACTGTTCACTCGCTCCCAAAGGGCCCTCACAATATCTAACTTTTTTTTTTTTTTTAATGAGAATGGTTAGAATAAGGTAACCAGGTAACCTGAATTCCAACATTGTACCCGTTGCCCCGTTCCTGGGCCATTACAGCCCCTTGTGGAATAGTGACACAGACGGCAGTCTCGGCTAAGTCCATAGCATACACACCCGTAAAATGCATAAGGCAGCTGTCAAAAGTGTCAGCACAAACAGTTAAGCACTATAAAGACATCTTGAATCTGTCAAGTGTTCTCTTATTTATCTATAAAACCAAACCTCCGCAGCTTCTACATAATTTTCCACTTATCGACCAACTGTTCATGCTTCAATATTCGATTGACGAGTGCAATTTTTACGGAGACCCGTGGGGGATCGTCGCTTAAGCTTTGGTGTTCGTACTAATTGAGACGCTCTCAGTAGGCAATAACTTAAAAAAAAAATAGTGTCTACCTCTTGCTCGCTTGTTTTTTCACCTTTGTCTCATGTCTGATCTTTATAAGTGGTATGTCTCTTTAGGAGAACTGGCTCATAAACAGCATCCTCTCCTGAAAGCTGAAGGACATGTCAGGCGCCATGGTGGCTTTGAAGTGAACGGGAATAGAAGGTGCAGTTTTCGGACAACGAGACAGAGTCCGACTTCTGCAAATGTGAAAACAGGACATTGAAGATGCATTGACTATGAAAGCACACAGAGCTGGACAATTGGCTAGAGAAAGAGAGAGACTTTCGGGAGTAGAGCAGTGTTCTGTAAAAGACTGTACTTACTTAGTCGCTCCTCTTCTACCTTGGGGTGTAGAGGTTTGCCAGAGATCGCCAGACGTCTCTATCCGCAGTTTTCTTTCTGGCTTTGTTCCATTCCAGTCGTCTGTCAGTTAGGGACTGTCGGATGTTGTCTTCCCAGCGTACTTTGGGTCGTCCCGGAGGTCTGGTTCCCTGGTTCTTAGCCTCCCATGCTTGCCATGGTGGCCGATTTTCTCCCATTCTGCATACATGTCCAAACCATCGTAACTGTGACTGATCTACTCGGGTTAGTAAGGGCTGGGTATCAAGATCTTGACGTATTGTCTGATTGCGGACTTTGTCCCTTCTTGTCACTTGGACCACCTTTCTCAGGTATCTCATTTCCGAGGCCTGCAGCTGGCTTCTGTGAGCTGTAAAAGACTGTTGATTGATTAATTAATTGATTGATATCTGTTAGAATATACTTCACTTGTCGTCTTCAGCATTTTGAGTCATTAAAGTTCATCAGTGCAGATATAGCTTTCTACCTTCATCTCCCTGTTAAGTTTTCTCTTTCCTATTAGTGACTCCAAGTGGTTTCAGGTCTGCCCAATCCCTTTTTATAATCGCGATAGGCAACGGTACGAAGTACCGGCGCCTCTTTAAGGCATCATTTGTTTCAGCACTTGCTGCGGTATATATACACTTAGGTGTAGGTAGGTAGATGCTTTGCTGGAAACATTTTTTTTAAAATAACCTGACGTTGAACCACCACCCTGAAAAGAAAGCCTAAGGTTATAATTGTGACTAGTTTATATGTGTCATATACAATGCCTTATCATTGCCCGTCACCAAGATACCTGAAAATGACTCCCTCAGTGTTGACGCGATCAAAGAAAATGAAGTCGTCTACCGGGCGATGAACTTTGTGGTGAACTTCAGCACCTTCCACCTTGTGACACTCGTTTTCTCCCTAAAAAAAAACCCGTGGCTTATTTGCATATTATCTCTCCGCTGTTTTCTTTATCGGCCTTGTTATCTTTTCCCATCAACTTTTTGTGTGTACGAAATGAGTGTTTCTCTGTTATCTGTCGTTCTCTCTATGTTTGCCCCAGCCGTTGCAGTCTATTAGCACTATCATTACCAGAAATTCCTCATAAGACTCTGCCCTCAAAAAATTTAAGCAAGGCTTTTTCTATTGTAGTCGTAGGCCAGTTTTTCAGAGCCATATAGGGCAATTGGTCTTATCAGTTTTTTTTTTTCTTATACATATAATATGGTCTTGATGTTACGGGATAGAGTATTTAATGTTAGCAGATATTATGGGACATAGTTTACATTATTTCTATAGTGAATTCTAGATTGTTTTCATTCTCTTACTATGCTGAAGCACTTGAAGTTTGCACCCAAGTACTTGAATGTGCCTGTTCTTTGATTTTTATATTATTTATATTATTTATTTAGTAGTCTTCATTTCACATTTAATTCCCCCCCCCCACCACCACCACCCACCCCCCAAAAAAATTTATCACAAACTGTCTTGAATGTTTTCAGCTCAAGTATATTCTTTTTTTTTTTTTTTTTTTTACTTAGTAGGAATGGTACAGTCTCTGATATTTTATAATTTTTTTTTAAATACTTGATATCAGTATTTTAGTATTTATTATCAGTTAACAACATCTTCTTTCCTGCTTTGAGCTATCAATGCCAAACATGGACAATGAGTAGATCACGCGAACAGAAAAGTCACCAACAACACAACAAGAAACAGGCTCACAAATACCTGTATAAAAAGAAGGCTAAAACAAGACCGCATCTGAACTGCATTAAAAGAAAATGATGAAGTGGTGTGGTCATCAAGTAAGAGTACAACCAGACCTAGTTGAATATGAGATTTTCTACAACAGAACGTCTGCGTGCAAGGCGAAAGACAGACCAAGGAAGAAAGGGGTAGACGGCGAAGCTGAAACCCACACAAATATGAACAAATCTGTTATTCAAGCCACTCGAGAAGCTTCTGTTGTTATTTATTATCATTACTGTAGTTTAATGAGTCCTTAGTCCCTGCTCATTTTCTAGCCTTCTGGAAGCCTTAAACATAATCTGGTAATGTATGCCACGCCTAAACAATTGGAGCTACAGCCCTTACTGTAACCACCCACGTGCCCACTACCTGTCCATAAGTCCGAACTCCAGTGTTGCGAATTACACTCAAGTACGACTTAAATTGCGTAATGAATGACTTGTGATTCGACTTGGAGTTTTCTTAGCGACTTGCGACTCGACTTGCGACTTGTAGCTTCAATGTCTTGCATCAACTCATTCTTCCCGGCCGGCCACTTTGAGATTTGGTGATCAGCTTAATAATTTTAAGTGTCCCTATATGAAAGCGGACAGAATAACTTTTGTGTCGATTTATCAAGCTTTCATATTCGACTTCACCCGATTTTGTGTATAGTTCAGACAGTTTTTGGCATTGCAATTTCCGATTTTGTGTTTTCCCAATTCTGATTCTTTTTCTTTATTCCAGTAAACTTAATATTTAAACAACAATCGCAGTATGATATATGTCTTGACTTTGTCTAAGACCGTGCATTGTCCCATAGTAACTTGCAAATGAACTGATACATGAAGTGACTTGACTCGTAACTCGACTTGGAAGCATTCTTGGTGACTTGAGAATTGATTTCGAACTTGGCGGCGATGACTTAGGACTCGATTTAGACTTGAAGGATGACTACATAGTCCAACCTCTGTACCCGTCCCATCTTACTAGGCCACTTCCAGTTCAATATCTATTTCCTGCAACAATACACCTACACAAATATGTCTTCTGTTTAAAAGTGATCTGGAGATTTTCCACAGAACCCACCCTAAAGATTGCTACTTGTAGTTGTATCATTGTACGTTTGTGTTACATGCTGATGAAGGCTTTCTAGCCGCAACGTTCTCGTTGTCGTTTGTGAGCATGAAACTTAGTTATACCTCTAATTAATTTGATATTTTTCCCTCTCATAAATTTTGTACAGGTAGGAGCATCAATATTTGCGAGCAACGTAGGCGCCCCGATGTTCATTGGTTTGGCAGGGACTGCCGCTGCTTCTGGTTTTGCGTGCGCTATATACGAGTGGCATGTGAGTTTTTTTGTTTTGTTACAGTTTAGCTGTCTGTTGCACACACACACACACACACAAATTGTGTACTGTTCCCCTAAAAATTTCGGAAGCCCTGGCAGTGTTGCCGCTAGAGACTCGACTGCTGGTCCAAAGATAGGGTTCCCGGTCTAGTTTTCCATTTTCTTCTGTCCCGTGCAATAATTTCGATACCAGGAATGAAAGTAGTCCAGTACCTTTGGCTTCTCTTAACAATGTTGACCTTGGGATTCGATTGAGAAGTCCTCGTTTCTCTAATCAATTTGTTTCTCATTTCAATGTCTGTGTAATGAATACAACAATATAGGTTTCAATCCAATGTTAACTATAGTTTTCGCTTCAGTTGACCAGTCCGGTGAACATATACCCGATTAAGTCGGATATGTCGACCGAAAGGCGCAAATATCGCAGCTATGCTGTAAACAAACACAAACCAAAGAATAAGACTTCAGTTGATAAATGTGTACTGGTGAGATTATTTCCTACTTACAAAAATTGTCTTTTGACTTTGCTATTCTTCAGAAGCCCTGACTGCTCCAAGAAAGTTTAAAACAAATAATGCAGCACTACTGGTTTGACATTTAGCTTTAATTAATCTAAGAAATGTTTAATTTTTTTGGACTACAACATATCTTTTGCGAGTCCGACTCGTAATTGCCACGTACCGCTATTGAAACCCACTGCTGGGCTGTGTGGATTTTTATCATGGTACGGGGCGTGGCAGGTCGACCCAGCCTAAAATGGGTTCCAGAATGTATGTCCTGGGCACCGCCAACTCTAGATTTATAGCTAAAGATAGCCGTGGTCCTGGGAAAGTAAACACGACCGGCGTAATACTGACCACATTGTACACCTAGTGCCGATTGGTCTGTAAAAATATGGGTGCTTTTCCCATATGCCCGATGCGCCTAAGGCGTGAAATATCGCAGTCTTTACTTGTTTACTTACTTAGAACATATCTCTCAGCGTTTTGAAGTAAAAAAAAGTAAAGTAAAGGACCCTTTTCCACGCCTTTAGGCGTATAGGGCATATAGGGCTAGACCTATATGTTATAGACCAACAGCACAAGATGGATGATGTGGTCAGCATCACGCCGACCGCCTCTACTTCCCGGGATAGCACCCGGTACCCACTCAAGCTTGGGTCGACGTGGGAGTCAAGGTCATTTTTGAAGAAAAATCAGGCTCCGCCAAGGAGCGAACCCACGAGCTTCAGATCCGCGGAGCGCGTCTAGCCGCTCTGCCACAGCTTTGTGAAGACTCCACCGAATTTGTGTACCAGGTATAGTCATGGGAAGTAAACACGAACGGAGTGATGGTGAGCACAACACGGACGGAATGATGGTAAGCACAACAAGGACGGAGAACCGATCGGTCTAAAAATATGTGCCCCAAGTGCCATTCGAGTGAATAGTAGAGTTGCCAGATTTCCTAAATAAATATAATTTAAAAAAAAAAATGGAACGGCAACTCCTTGTTTGTTTTCGACATTTTTCACTAATAATAGACTATAACATATGCATAATCAACCTACTTAACTGACTCCACAGGAAAAGAGTTAGGCGGGGAAAACAACAACAAAAACAAAAAACAACAACAACGGAGGAATCTAGGGAAAACGGAATGCCTGACAACCATAGAGAATAAGCGCCTGCACTTTTACTTGTTATAGAGTTCCTTTACTTTTACTTGATTTAATAGCGACTACTCTTTCCTTTTGTTTTATTATCTGTTCCTTTACTTTTACTTTTTATAGCGACTACTCTTTTCTTTGATCGGAAGGTCGTGGGTTCGCTGCCTGGCAGAGCCGGGCTTTTTTTTTTCAAAAATGACTTTGGCTCACAGGTCGACCCAGCTTAGAGTGGGTACCGGGGGCAATCCCGGGAAGTAAAGGCAGCCGGCGTGATGCTGACCACTTCACCCATTTGTAACGATTGGTCTATAAAAATATAGGTCTAGCCCTATATGCCCTATGCGCCTAAAGGCGCAAAAAAAGCGCCTAAAGGCGTTGAAAAGGATCCTTAACTTTTCTTTACTTTACTTACTCTTTTCTTTTCTTTTCATATCTGTACCTTTACTTTTACTTTTTAAAGCAACAACTCTTTCTTGTTCTTTTCATATCTGTTCCTTTACTTTTACTTTTTATAGCGGCTACTCTTTTCTTTGTTTTCATATTTTTACCTTTATGTTTACTTTTTATAGCAACAACTCCTTCTCTTTCCTTTTGTTTTTCACGTTTGTTCATTTGCTTTTACTTTTTATAGCAACAACTCTTTTCTTTTGTTTTCATATTTGTGCCTCTACTTTTACTTCAGGGGGGCGGGGGAGACGACTCATTAAAGGTTTGCCTAGTTGTAAGCCACAACACAATGTACCTACAATCATTTTAAGGGCAACACAGAAATCCTGGACTTTCAGAGCGCATAGAAAGCTGATGACCACTCTACAACGAAAATGCCCTCAGCCAAACTGAGAAAATCGAACTGCTTTTCTAAGTTCCATTTACGATTGCATTTCTTCTTCTACTGAAAGTCCACGGCTGCAAACTTAGTATGGTAGTTCTGGTTTTTCGACCACTTCTGGGCTTTGATTTTGTTTCAGAACCTGAGCTTTGCGTGCATATCTGTTTTACAGATCTTAGTTGTATACTGACTGTTGGTTCCTCGCCCCTCAAGCTGATACAATCCAACTTTAGAGATCTCGCCTCCATTCCCCCCAGTTAGTCGCTTTTCATTACGTGATTGTTAAAGGGACAGTGAGTCTATTCTTCCCTTCCCCTAAACTGGGACTTTGCAACCCATACAAAGACGACTGTATTTAATTTTTGTCTATATAACCCATTCTTCTAGAAACGCCGTAGTAAAGCGGATATGCACTCGCCTGTGAATCCGAAGATCGTGGGTTCCGGTCCAGTCAAATGACTTTGTCTCAGACACAGCCTTCAATGGGCACCAGGTAAAGTCGTGGGAAGTAAAGGCGGCTAGCGTGATGTTGACCATACGACGGACCGAGTCTATAAAATATAGGTCTAGTCCTATTTGCTTAATACGCCTGAAGCTCGGAAAAAAGTCTTTTACTTTTAATCCAGTCTTCCAACAACATGCCTTACAAATGTGTGTCTTCATATTTCCACAGGCTATTTATCTGCTCATTGCTCTGGGATGGGTTTTCGTTCCTGTCTACGTAGCTAGCGGGGTAAGTTGTTGTTAGTTTGGTGGTTGGGTAGCCCAACGGCACTGCCCGGTCAAAATTTGGAGTTAAAAATCTACCCAAAATATTTCAGGATCCTCACCGGTGCTACGAAGCCCGTACACTGCGTTGAGCTACTTTGGACTCAGACGACTTAGAAGTAGAACGGAGTACTTATGGGCTGCTGCCCGTGTTCCATGATGTTGATCCAGTTGTTTAAACCATCATGTTTGGTGGTTACAGCAAAAATTAGTCGCGTTCAAAATTAGTCACGACACGAACCCGTGCGCTAATCTTTGGTCCATCATCACGTTTATGCTTCTCTACAGATCTCTGTCCCTGTCCTCTGGATCAGTTCCACTGGTGGTATACCTCCTAGCAACCGTCGCAGTCCATCCGTTATCTTCTGCCTCGGTCTGCCTCTGCCTCTTCTTCCGTTGATCTTCCCAGTCGTCACAAAATTCTCCAACCCCCCCCCCCCCCCTTCCCAAATTCAGTGAGCACTGACGTCGATTGTGATAACATAACATAAAATAACATCACATAACATAACATAACATAACATAACATAAAATAACATCACATGACCAAAGAACAGTGCTTGCTGATCATTTACCTGTCTCGAAACAAAACCACGGATAGGTGTCAACATCTTTTCAAAGAAGTATCACCCCAGCAAAGCCTAAACAAGCCGTGATATCGTTGTGTGGAATGACCAGACGCTGTCATTCTTCAAAAACATCATGAGGAAAAAGTCGAAGCAAAGTTCTTTGGACAGATTTTTAGTAAAATTCGACCCTGATAAGCCTCAGCCAGGTCCAAGTAGCAAAAAGAGACCTCCCCCCCCACCCCCCAAGAGAAAAACCACCCGTCTTTCAGATTCCAAACATCTCCTTCTCCTCCTCCTCTTGTGGTCAGTACCATACAAGCTTCTCAGGAAGGTAATGTGAGGTTACACTTTTCTCTATGTCACCTCATTGCTTTTGTATTTATGCATTTTGATATTAGACATTATGTAAATTATTTTATAGAGCACAATCAATGTATAATGCCAATAACAATAGGATTGTGTATGTGTGTGTGTGTGTGTGTGTGTGTGTGTGTGTGTGTGTGTATGTGTGTGGGAACTGACTGCCACCTGCGATCGTAACTTTGGACACTAGCAGCCAAGTTAATGAGTAAAATTGTTCGAAATTCACAGAAGACTGTGTTAGAATTCAGCCAATCAGTTAACAATTCTTTGCATCAGATTCATCGATAGTGTTTAGGCGTACAGGCTTTTCCACCAATTAATAAAAAAGGCGCTATTAAATAAATATGTGTTGTTGTTTTTTTTTAAACTGTCAGGTGGTATATTGGAATTCGAACGAGTCAAAACTCGAGCAGCGTATAATCTGAACGAAATTTTCAAGTATATTTTCCCACGATTTTTTAACTCTGTCTTGGAAACCGAACACCTGGCACCTGCTGACCACGTGACTGAGCTGACACCGCAAGAGCTTCAGTATCTTTACCAGCAGCAAAATGGAGAAATTATAGAAGGAATTGTAGAAGAAATGTCTTCCGGGAAGAAAAAGGGAGAAGCTGGAAGGATTACCACTGCTGAAATCCAAGATCCATTGACTATGGGGTCCAAAAGGCAAGAAGTTGTTGAGAGGTGGCACCCTGGTAGAACCCTAGTTTACAAGTCTGTTAAGTTATTCAATGATAACATTAACAAACACTTGAGAAAATAAAAATAAAAATGGTCACCAACACCAGAGCACTTAAGAACTCTGGCTGTCAACAAAAACTGGTGACTCCAACCCTTCTTCAAGTGGTGGATGACTTCGATAAGAAACACTAGAGTCACTTTCAAAACGATGATCTACATAAATGCCCTTTCATCCTCTTACTTCTATGTGCCATGTCACAATTTTGATCAAGTACAGTAAATGCAATGTTTTTTTAAATACAAATTGTATGTATGTTTGTATTCAAATATGATTATCACGTGATATGATATTGATAGTAAACTGTATTTAAGGAAAATACATTTTAAAATCTGAGTTTGTTGGACCCCAGAAAATATTAATTTAATTTCCATTATTTTAACGATAAAATTCTCGCGCGAGTTGCAGGTCCCATTGCGGGGGGGGGGGGGGGGGGAGAGGAGGGGATGGGGAGTGAATAGAACCACTGCCCCCCCCCCTAACAAGCATGTCGTAAAAGTCGGCTAAATAGAGGGCGAAAAATAAGAGGCGAGGAACTATCACCACGCTTACCAATAAGCGAGATCTATAAAACACATAGGCAGACAAAACTCAGGTTCTGGAACTTAAGTCCAGAGGTGGAAGAACAACCAACACTTTCAGCCAGAGTTAACAACCTGTGAACAAGAAGAAGAAGAATGATAAAATAAACTGCACTGGAACTCGAACGATTTGGAACTAGAGCGCCGTATCAGATCATATTATGTTCGAATTCCGAGGTATCAATGTATTTACAATATAGTTCCAGATAATTTATAGAAATTTTCTGGAAAACAAAAAGGCCACGAGAAAGTAAACAGTCCCATCACTAGTGTTTACAATGGGATTACATTGTTTGTGCATTCAACGCCATCCTGAACTTCAAGCTGAGTTAGGACCCAACATCACAGCACTGGGGACATTCCCATAAGCACTCTGTTCACATCTTCGGCAGCCAGCGCAGAGTTTTAATTCTCGTGGTACCTGTAGCCACGACCGGCTCCAGCTGATGGGACGCGCTGCTGACGTCACCAGGTCGGGCTAACGATGCTTTAACGCAGCGGTTCTCAAACAAGAAATAAACTATTTTTCGACAGTGGCGAGGGAAAACTACTTAAGTTTTAACTTTTAAGTATCTACATACCTTCTTTAATGATTTCACAATTTTAACCGACTTTTCTTGATTATTACCGTGGCACCCCTGGCATACGCTCGCGGCATCCCAGGGTGTTTCGGCACCCAGTTTAAGAACCGCTGCGTTAACGCCCGGCCTGGTGACGTCAGCAGCACTACCTGTCAGCTGGTCGTGCCTGAAGCGTGGTCTGATTGTTTGTCCGTCTTTCCTTTCCCCTGAGTGTTGAATGTCGAACAGATCTCAACGACCACTTCCCGCTGCACCATTCGTTCCAGACCGTGATGAATCATTCACGACCGGCTCCAGCTGACGGGCCGTGCTGCTGACATCATCAGGTCGGGCGTTAACGCAGCGGTTCTCAAACACAGAATAAACTATTTTCGACAGTGGCAAGGGACGACTACTTAAATTTTAACTTTTAAGTATATACATGCCCTCTCTAACGATTTCACGATTTTTAAACGACTTTCTTGATTATTGCCGCGTCACCACCGGCATACGCTCACGGCACCCCGGGGTGCCTCAGCAACCAGTTTTAGAACCACTGCGTTAACTCATCGTTAGCCCGACCCCGGGACGTCAGCACAACGGCCCGTCAGCTGGAGCCGGTCGTGAGCCATTCTTGCTTTGAAACTGTTTACTCGCTCCCAAAGAAACCTGACCACATCCAGCGTGTCGTGCATCCATTTACCAAAGTCTGATGCAGAAACAGCCAGTCTGTCTGCCTTGTGTTGGCAGGCTGGCTGTTTGTCCCCGTGCACTTCCAAATATGAATCGTATCCATTACCTATCTGTCAAAAATAATGTCCTGTTGTTGTGTTTAGGCCTTCACCATGCCAGAGTTCCTGAAGAAGAGGTTTGGAGGCACCCGGCTGAGAGTCTTTCTGTCTGTACAGTCGCTGATTCTCTATGTCCTCACAAAGATATCAGTAAGTCGTCAAGACATGTTTGTTGCCTACCTGCCTATTTGCTTGCTTTCATTTCTGACTGCCTTCTTGTCTGCCAGTCCTCTCACCTGCCTGCCCTATCTGTCTGTCGGTCGGTCGGTCGGTCGGTCGGTCGGTCGGTCGGTCGGTCGGTCGGTCGGTCGGTCGGTCGGTCGGTCGGTCGGTCGGTCGGTCGGTCGGTCGGTCGGTCGGTCGGTCGGTCGGTCGGTTCATCAATTTCCTCATAAATATTGACACAGTCCATCAGTCTGTTTGAATGTTGAACCAAGACCGTTTTCATCAAGCAGGTTATGCTGCTGACGTCATCAAACCGGGCTAACAATACGTTCCCGGTTTGATGACGTCAGCAGCATTTCCAGTCCGATGGAAACGATCTTGGTTAAACTGTCTTGTGACAGACTTGTCTGCTTGTCTACTTATAGGTTTACCCCTACCTGCCTACCTGCCTACCTACCTAAACATCTAAGTCCTAAACATCGCTATGCTGACTTTTATAACAGTTACGGCAGATTGTTTATATTTTTCATAGCGGCAGATTGTTTATGTTCTTCATGGTCGCATGCCTCTTTGCCAGACTGGTGTTTGTTGTTCTATTTATGCGCCTGTCTTCACGCTTTCCTGACTCCTCTGTCACCGACATGTCTGTGTAATAGTCTGTAGAGTTGACTGTTCATCCACAAGCACACCAATCTGCCCACCCGTCTGTTTGTCTGTCCATTTGCCTATCCATTTGCCTATCCATTTGCCTATCCATTTGCCTGTCCATTTGCCTGTCCATTTGCCTGTCTATCAGCTTGAATATCATTTTCCAGTTTTGACGGAAGCGGCTAAATGGTTAATTCAGAAATGAGTTTTTTAATGTTTCTGTTTGTAGGCAGAGCTTTTCGCCGGGGCTATATTCCTGCAGCAACTGCTGGGTTGGAATCTCTATGTTTGCGTGGGCGGTATTTTAGCAGTTACGGCTGTTTATACTGTTGTAGGTATGTACTATTTGTTTATCTATCTCTATTGATTGTATGTTTGTCTATATATCTATCTATTATCTACACTCTATGATCTATCTATGTGTATCTATGTGTCTATATAGTCTATACTGTTGGAGGTATGTACTATTTGTTTAGTCTATTGATTGTATGTTTGTGCTGTATCTATAGTTTACACACTGTTGAAGGTGTGTGATGTCGGTCGGTATAGTCTATCGGTGTCGGTCGGTCGGTCGGTCGGTTGTTTAGTCGGTCGGATGGTATGTTTCGGTCTATATCTATCGGTCGGTCGGTCGGTCGGTCGGTCGGTCGGTGTCGGTCGATGTGTGTATAGTCGGTAATGTCGGTCGGTCGGTCGTACGGTCGGTCGGTTAGTCTATCGATTGTCGGTCGGTTTGTGCTATCAATTTTCTATAATTTTGACACTGTCAATCAGTCTGTTTGACTGTTGAACCTAGACCGTTTTAATCAAGGAGGTTATGCTGCTGACGTCATCTAAGCGGGCTGACAAACTATACCCGGTTTGATGACGTCAGCAGCATTTCCCGTCCTCGGGAAACGATCCTGGGAACCTGTCTTGTCTGGTCGATTGACTGGACTGTCTGCTTGTCTACTTATACAGTTTCTGCCACCTGCCTCCTGCCTACCTACCTAAAGATCCAATGTCCTAAACATCGCTATGCTGACTTTTACGGAGACAGTTACGGCAGATTGTTTATATTTTGCATAGCGGCAGATTTATATACTTTCTTTCATGGTCGCATTTAATCTTTGCCAAAGTGATTTATTGAGTTGTTATGTTCTATAATTATGCGCCTGACAGCTGGACGCTTTCCTGACTCCTCTGTCACCGACATGTCTATGTAATAGTGTATGAGTGTGTGCAATTGTGTGCAAGCACACCAGTGTGCCCACGTGTATTTGTGTGTGTGTGCGTGCCTGTCCATTTGCCTGTCCATTTGCCTGTGTATCAGCTTGAATATCATTTTCCAGTTTGACGTGTGCGGCTAAATGGTTAATTTGAGTGAGTGTTTTGTAATGTTTCGTGTGTAGGCAGAGTGTTTCGCCGGGGCCATATTCCTGCAGCAACTGTTGGGTTGGAATCTCTATGTGAGTGTGGGCGGTATTTTAGCAGTACGGGTGTTTATACTGTGAGTGTGTGTGTAGTATGTTGTTGTGTGTCTATCGATTGTATGTTGTGTGTGAGATCTGTAGTTTGTGACTGTTGTAGTGTGTGACTGTGTGTGTGTAGTCGTATGTGATTGTGCGTGTGCGTGTGAAAGGGGACAAGATGGTATCTCTGAGAAGTGGTCGAGCTGTTTTTCTTGAACTTTGAATGTCACGAGTTCACTTCTCGCTGCATACTGCATTTCTCGTGTTCATGTGTTTCAATAATCCCTGGAGGTTGTCAACGTTGCTGCGGAATTTAATGCTTTGTGCGACAAGCAGAGGGAGACCAAGCCCTAGGAATAAAAGCTGGTGCAAATCTTCTCGCTTTTAACAAGCCTGCGGAAATCCCTATAAGTGTCCCCATCTCCTTGCAGAAAGCACAGGAGGGATATATCAATACAATGTTGACAAACCTGTAACACCTGTGATGATCCACTGAATTTAGATATACAGGAATGATTAAAAGAATGAGTAGCTAATTGTTAAAATGGTCATTTTTTACAGGTGGGCTGACCGCGGTCATCTACACGGACACCTTGCAGACTGTTATACTGCTTATTGGGGCCACAGTTCTCTTTGTTATCAGTAAGTCATTATTACCAGCATGTAGGAGATTATTTATTTATCGATCCCCTCATGGACTGTCTAAAAGAAAATCGGTCCCTAGACAACTCTCCCGCCTCATGCACTTTCCTGCTCAATGTGTGCCTTATCCCCTATGCTCACCTTCGTTATTAACGGTTTCTGCCTCTCTTACCGGGTACCACGTCCGTCATTACAGTTCTTCCTCGGTTCCAGCATTATAATTATCATGTTCATCTCAACAGTAGTTCCAATCTCGTCTTTATCAATATTGTCATCTCAACAGTAGTTCCAATCTCGTCTTTATCAATATTGTCATCTCAACAGTAGTTCCAATCTCGTCTTTATCACTACTATCATCTCAACAGTAGTTCCAATCTCGTCTTTATCACTTTTACAATCTCAACAGTAGTTCCAATCTCGTCTTTATCACTATTGTCATCTCAACAGTAGTTCGAGCCTCGTCTTTATCACTACTGTCATCTCAACAGTAGCTCCAACCTCGTCTTTGTCACTACTATCATCTCAACAGTAGCTCCAATCTCGTCTTTATCACTTTTGTCATCTCAACAGTAGTTCCAATCTCGTCTTTATCACTTTTGTCATCTCAACAGTAGTTCCAACCTCGTCTTTATCACTACTGTCATCTCAACAGTAGTTCCAATCTCGTCTTTATCAATATTGCCATTTCAACAGTAGTTCCAATCTCGTCTTTATCACCACTGTCATTTCAACAGTACTTCCAACCTCGTCTTTATCACTATTGTCATCTCAACAGTAGTTCGAGCCTCGTCTTTATCACTATTGTCATCTCAACAGTAGTTCCAACCCCGTCTTTATCACTACTGTCATCTCAACAGTAGTTCCAACCTCGTCTTTATCACTACTGTCATGTCAACAGTAGTTCCAACCTCGTCTTTTTCACTACTGTCATCTCAACAGTAGTTCCAACATCGTCTTTATCACTATTGTCATCTCAACAGTAGTTCCAACCCCGTCTTTATCACTACTGTCATCTCAACAGTAGTTCCAACCTCGTCTTTATCACTACTGTCATGTCAACAGTAGTTCCAACCTCGTCTTTTTCACTACTGTCATCTCAACAGTAGTTCCAACATCGTCTTTATCACTATTGTCATCTCAACAGTAGTTCCAAATTCGTCTTTATCACTATTGTCATCTTAACAGTAGTTCGAGCCTCGTCTTTATCATTATTGTCATCTCAAGAGTAGTTCCAATCTCGTCTTTATCACTACTATCATCTCGACAGTAGTTTTAACCTCGTCTTTATCACTATTGTCATCTCAGCAGTAGTTCCAACCTCTTCTTTATCACTGTTGTCATCCCAAGAGTAGTTCCAACCTCGTCGTTATCACTACTGTCATCTCAACAGCTGTTTCAACCTCGTCTTTATCACTATTGTCGTCTCAAGAGTAGTTCCAACCTCGTCTTTATCACTGTTGTCATCGATATCAAAAGTTCCAGCTTCGTCTTTATCACTACCGTTACGGTCAACAACAACAGAAATCCCAGCCCCCACCGTAACTATCATCATCATCAACACCATCCTATCCACCACCATCACCATCACCACTACCACCATCATCATCATCACCACCACAAACACCATCATCATCAACACCACGACCACTACTACCATCATCACCACCACAAACACCATCATCATCATCACCACCACCACTACCACCACCATCATTAGCATCATCATCACAATCACGTGACTCATTACTTTGACAAATGTGTCGCTGTCAGGTATGGTGGACATTGGCGGGTGGAATACCTTCATGACCTTGTATGCTCACGCGGCCTCCAACAACACCAGGACTGACCCTGTCAACTACTCATGCGGACTTCCTAGATCTGGTAAGTTTTCGATTTTCGTACACAGGCCAAGAAACGCAGCTGCATATTCCGTCTTCGCACACAAAGGCTGCAACACAGCTGTCTACAAGAGTTGAAGAATTAAACGGCACTAAGTCTAAAAAATACTCAGTCACTGACCTCTCAAATGGTCCACACACGTGTACAAAGTGTGCTCCTACGGCGGAGTCCCACATCGCACTCTGTGTTTTCCCGTCTGACATGAACCTCTCGATGACTTCTACTTCAGTACGGAAAATAACCAGATAACCGCTAACGCTCTTAAACATTTTTTTTCTCAGTTTCTAGCTACGGCTTGCTTGTGAAAATTACCCGTTTCTGGACCGAGAGTCTGAAATTCCGTCGCCCACTACTGAGTTGCAATTGATGCGAATCTGTGAGCTGTGAATTTCATGTGGAATGTCTGTTTCTGTTGTGCCCGCGACGGCTTTGTGTTCTGAGCTGCAATAAAAATGGCAGGCGACCAGTTACGTTTGGAATGACGTGTACTTATCCAGTAAAGCGAATTTAATATCAGCTTCCGTAATTAACTACTAGCATCAGCAGTGAGCTGCAATTCTGGTGGCACATCTGACGGCTGCTTTAAGCATTTAGATTTCGTTTGTGAACTTCGAGATTGTTCTAGGACAGATATGTTAGTCACTATTTTTTTTTCCAGATAGGAAGGACATATTGTGTGACTGCCAGTTACACGGAAACAGAGGAACTACGGAACGAAGATGGAACCTCCAAAATTGACT